CTCCTTTTCCCACCTCTTGTGTGCGGGGATGTTACAAAGTACAAGTTAGTAGGCCAACAACCAACTCCATAATCTTCTCAAAGTCGGGTTGATATTGTTAATATTTGTGTAATTAATATAATACAAAATCTTCAATTAGTTTTATTTCTAAATTTAGTTCTCTCACCCCCTCTATTTAAAGGTGAGAACTTAAAGTGTTCATGCACACACAAATTAAATCAAAAACCTCTTTCTTGAGTTACTTTTTTTTTTGTTAATTACTTTATTATCTCTACCATCGCCAACCCTTTCCCTCGAGCCTTTTAAAAGCAGAGCTCAACCCCATAACTTTTCCAAAAGTACGAAGCCTTCTTATCCACATTCACTTCCAGCATGTTATCGCAAGAAAAATATCTCCCCTTCAGGACCTTTGCAACATGAAGATTCAAAGAAACTAATAATCTCCATACTTGCTTAGCTAAAAGTTAATGGATTGAATCCTTCCAATTGGAAGGACTTGCAGGTCCTTAGAGTTTTGCGCACCTAATTCCTTAGGCAGACACAATTTATCCCATCTCATCCAATGCATTCTTTGTGTGACTTAGTTGTTCCTTACCAAGAAAATGCCGAAATTTTCGACTAAAAGCTCTCTAAATACACTTATAGTATATTAGGATAACTTGACTCACAGTTTTTAATGAGAATCTCTTTACCTAAAGAGAAAAATTGTCTCTTTCAGCCGTGCAAGACTCTCCAAATTTTGTCTCTCACAACCCTACCCATATGACTGGAAATGTTAGCTCTTCCGCCTGGGGTTAACAATCGAAGAGAAACTTCTAATGGATTATGGGAAGGATAAATCTATGTTTCAAATCCATGTTGCTAGGTGGTCTTTTTAACTTTAGTCTCACTTTTAAATTATATTCTTTTTGTTAGTGAATGTTAAATGTGGCTTAGGGTAAGTTTTAACTTTCMATTTCAAACAAATCAATTCTACACTTAGAAATGTTATAAGTTTTACCTTGTATTCAATTTTTGAATATTTTAAAAAACTCCCTAATTTTAATGAAACCAAAGTTTTTTTACCAAATTAATTTTGACCCATAAAAATAATGGATCATTTATAACTGCCAAAACTCACCAATTTCAAAAAAGAAAAAATTCTAAATATATATTTCCGTCCCCAATGCTGGAGGGGTTTTTTTTTTAAAAAGAATTTATTAGCACTMTTGATGAATGTTAAAATTGACTAATGATTAGGTTATAGCATAATCCGACAAAAATGGAGGATATTTAGAGGAGAAAAAATGCTATCAAAATAAGAAAACTCGAAATTTATGRCCGTTTTTTTTAAGTTTGGAGGAGGAATTAGAAACCCTACTCTCTTAGRTGACATTTTTTCTTTTATAAATCTGGGTRATGGTGACCTTTATCGGAGAGGTGAAAGGAAAGAGACTTAATTATTAAAACAAAATCCAGTCATGCAAAAAAATATTAAATTAATATATTTAACAAAATACAGTCCGCAATTTAAGTGACGCGTCATTTTAACATTAGTTGACTAACGGTCAAAATATAGTTAGGATAAAAAATGTTTATTTTCAAACTTCAAGATATCTGTTTTGAAATTTCAAGGACTAAAGACACGTATATGAATGACGTATTTTTCCTTAATTATTTCATATTTATTTTAAAAATACACAAAATTGAAATTTTGTAAATATCACTTCACTTTTTTGCCCTTGGGTGTCATCTTCATTCTTCAACCTCACCATTCCCAGCCGCACAGTCCTTCGCCCCCCGCCGCCCGCCGCCCGCCCCTAGCCCCACCGCACCCTCTGTTCTCCAGCCGCGTTGGTAGCCCGAAACCGACAAACCCAACCTTCAATATCACTCACAAGGTCTGTATCCGATTATCAATCTTCGCCCTTTACTTTGTGCTCCTTTCTCTCTCTTCTCTCTCTAAAACAATTGAGTTTCTATCAGAGAATTAGTATTGATGATTTGGTTATAATCGCTGTTTTGGTTGTTACTGACCTGCATTTGTAGGATTTAGCAATCTTGGTGTTTTTCTGAGCATAGTGTTCTTGGCAAATAGCTGTTTCAAATTAAAAAAAAAAAAAGAAACTGTTTCTGACATTCTGGGCATTCTCTTTATCCTGAATGGTTATACTGTTGAAGGTTAATGTTCTGCTGAATGGAGGGAGCCGAAACTAAGTCCACTTGTTCCTCTGCTTCAAAAATAGTGGCTATTAAGTCTATTAAATTTTAGTGCAGAGGAGTTGGGAAATCATATACCAAGCACATGGCTACAAGCTCTTCTAACCAATGTTTGCTTGTGAAGCAATACTTCATATTTTACCTACAAGATATTAAATCGGTCATTTGATGAGATAGTGGTGGAGAGGAAGAGTGAATAGTTGGATTTTATCGTCTGGGTGGAATATAATTGTCTCTATGCCCATGAGTTGCCTAATTCATATCAAGTATGGGGCGTCATTTTTTCTTCAACATACACTGGTCTTTTCTTCCAATTACTCAAGTGAAGAATTGCAAATTCTTCAGTTCTACGTTGTCGCATGTTCAACCGATGCTTCCTTCAGTCTCATTCCAAAATGTGCGAGTGAAAAGGAAGGCGCTTTCCAACTTGTTGCTTGTACCTGTTTCAAACAAATCAATTTTATACTGCAGGAAAATTCATGGTCAAGTTGTCTTGTGGGGCTTACAATTTGATGTGTTTTTATCAAACCTTCTCCTGCATTCATACTTCCAAATTGGCAGTGTTTCTGATGCTGGAACATTGTTTGACAAAATGCCTAGGAACCTAGTATCTTGGTCGTCGGTGGTTTCTATGTATACCCAACTAGGCTATAATAAAAAAGCATTGCTTTATTTCCTGGAGTTCCGGAGGACTTGTGATGATAATCTGAATGAGTATATTTTAGCTAGCATAATCAGAGCTTGTGTTCAACGGGAAGGCGGTGAACCAGGTTCTCAGGTCCATACTTATGTTATTAAAGCAGGTTTTGATAAGGATGTTTATGTGGGAACCTCTTTGGTGGATTTGTATGCTAAACATGGTGATATAGATAAAGCAAGATTGGTCTTTGATGGTTTAGCTGTAAAGACTGCTGTGACATGGACTACTATTATTACGGGGTACACGAAAAGTGGAAGAAGTGAGGTTTCATTGCAATTGTTTTATCAAATGAGAGAAAGCAATGTTATGCCTGATAAATATGTACTATCTAGTATTTTGAATGCATGTTCAATGCTCGGTTTTCTGGAAGGTGGTAAGCAAATTCATGATTATGTTTTGAGGAGGGAAACAAAAATGGATGTTTCAACATATAATGTTCTTATAGACTTCTATACGAAATGTGGTAGAGTAAAAGCTGGGAAAGTGCTTTTTGATAAAATGGGTGTTAGGAATATTATTTCTTGGACCACCATGATTTCTGGGTACATGCAAAATTCTTATGATTGGGAAGCTGTGGAACTAGTTGCTGAAATGTTCATAGAGGGATGGAAGCCAGATGAATATGCTTGTTCAAGCGTTCTCACTTCATGTGGTTCAATTAATGCTTTACAACACGGAAGACAAGTACATGCTTATATTGTCAAGGTTTGTCTTGAACATGATACTTTTGTGATAAATGCTTTAATTGATATGTATTCGAAATGCAATTCTTTGGATGATGCAAAAAGAATCTTTGATGTCATGACTTGTCACAATGTGGTCTCTTACAATGCAATGATTGAAGGATATTCGAGACAAGAGTACTTATGCAAAGCGTTGGAGGTTTTTCGTGAGATGAGGCTAAGACATATTTCACCAAGTTTTCTAACATTTGTAAGCCTTCTAGGTTTATCAGCTGCATTATTCTGCTTGCAACTGAGCAAGCAAATCCATGGCCTTACCATCAAATATGGAGTCTCTTTAGATAAGTTCACTAGTAGTGCTCTTATAGATGTTTATGCTAAATGCTCATGCATTAGAGATGCAAGATATGTGTTTGAAGGGACAACTAATAAAGATATAGTTGTTTGGAATGCATTATTTTCTGGATATAGCCTACAATTCAAAAGTGAAGAGGCTTTCAAACTATACTCAGCTTTACAATTTTCTAGAGAAAGGCCAAATGAGTTCACTTTTGCAGCTTTGATTGCAGCAGCCAGCAACCTGGCAAGTCTCCGGCATGGCCAACAGTTCCATAATCAAGTCATGAAGATGGGTTTAGGACTAGACCCTTTCATCACTAATGCCCTTGTGGATATGTATGCCAAGTGTGGGAGCATGGAAGAAGCAGAAAAAATGTTTTACTCCTCAGTGTGGAAAGATAAGGCATGCTGGAACTCCATGATTTCAATGTATGCAGCACATGGAAAAGCAGAAAAAGCTCTTAAGGTGTTTGAAACAATGATGAGAAATGACATAAATCCCAATTATGTCACTTTTGTGAGTGTGCTATCAGCTTGTAGTCATGTAGGGCTTGTTGAAGATGGACTAAAACATTTTAACTCAATGGCCAGATATAAAATTGAACCAGGAATGGAACATTATGCTTCAATAGTTTCTCTTTTGGGTAGATCTGGTCGGTTATCCGAAGCTCGTGAGTTCATCGAGAAGATGACAATAAAACCAGCAGCATTAGTATGGAGGAGCTTGCTCAGTGCATGTCGATTTTTTGGTAATGTCGAGTTAGCAAAACATGCTGCAGAGATGGCAATGTCGATCGAGCCCATGGACAGCGGATCGTATATTATGCTTTCAAATATTTTTGCATCTAAAGGTATGTGGGGAGATGTTAAACAGTTGAGGCAGAAAATGGATGTTGGCGGTGTAGTTAAAGAACCTGGAAAGAGCTGGATTGAGGTGAACGGTGAAGTTCATGTGTTTGTTTCAAGGGACCGAGTCCACAATGAAACTAATTTAATTTATTTAGCTTTGGATGAAATAATTATGCAGATGAAAGCTGCAGGTTATGTACTTGATACCACARTTCTTGAATTTAATGATTAAGATGTGAAATTGCAAGCAAAACATTCCCGTAATGAAAGGTTCCTAAGAACCATAATTCATCGAGCCTTGAGATACTCTTGACTACATTGTTTTTGTGCATCTAAATGGAGATTTTTGGCAAAGGGTTTTCATGACTATTCTTCTCTTCTATTGATGTTAATTGGAAAGCCTTTTATAGTTTCCTTGGCTGCTGTGTGTACAAGGATTGGACACATGCTTTGAGGATTGTATCTTTTAAGTTCTCATATTTTCAAAAGTTTCTAATTAGTTACTGACTTTTTTGATGATGTTGTTGGGGATGAGGGTTAATAAGTTACCGACTTTCAAAGTTATATATATCTTGTCTCTATATTTCAAAAAGCTACTAATAAGTTCTTGATTTTTTAATTTTTATGTCTAATAGGCTCCAATAGTTTTGATCACAGGTCTTCATAACAAAGGACAATTAGGAAATAGCTCATTTATGATTAAGGAAGGCTTGCATAAAATTGAAAAAATAGTGTTGGTTATGTAAGATTTGATTTAAATGTATTTTGTTGTTTTGAGTGGTTGTGTAGGTAAAGTCATTCCATATTCGAATATGTTCGTATCAACATTTTAGATGGTCATTTATATATATATGAACTAAAAACAAATATATTTATAACTTGCATGATAAATTGTAAAGTACACTAATTTTGTCTTCATGTAGTCTTTTTTTAAACTAGACGAATACTTCTCATCAAAATCACTTGAAGTTTTTATCTTTTTCTGTACATATCGATCATTTAGTGATACTAGTTTTTCATTTAAAAAAAACATTTGAAGGTCATTGTTGGACAGATCCTCCTATTTTTACCTTAACTTCCATAATGTATTGCAGTATTTTGAAAAAGAATTCCATGCAGAAATTCTTTGAAGGAATAGGAGGACTTGAAGAGTTGGAACGGATACATTTAGGATACAACTTCCGTGGACCACTACCAGCTGACATATGCTGTAATCTCTCACTTGGAATTCTGTATGTTGGCTCCAACAGGTTGCAGTTATGTTCTCCCTTAACCTTTTTCTCTCCCATCTTTTTAAACAAGTGCCTTATTATTACAATTTCAGGCTGCTGTTGAGGTTGATTTGTTAAGCTTGGTTTCATAGCAATTCTCCGACAAGGGAACTTCCTCGTAAGTGTTGAATAATTTCCTTTTCATTATTTATCTGCATTAAAATAAATCCTATGAAATATTCATGCAATACCATTTTATGTACGAACTGATTGTTGTTGGCTTGTTGATTAACCTGCACCACATCAACAAGCACCACATCAACTTTTATGCACTTGACTATTTCATTTTTTTTACGCCTCTTCTTCCTTCTAGCCTAAACATTCTTAATAGTTGGGTGTCTATGAGTGTATAACAAAAAGACAAACTTATCCTCGTACGTAGCACAAGAATATTGGCAGTCCTTTTCTTTTYGCTCTTGTTTATATAGAGATAGAATTTAGAGATAGATTTTTGTGAGAGAGAGTTGAGAGATCGATATGTTAGAGAGAGAAATTTTAGGAAGAGAAATTTATAGGGGGAAAATAAGTTATAAAGAGGAAAGTATGAGTTATAGAGAGAAATTTCAAAGCGAGGAAGATAGTTACAAAAGAAAGATAATAGAGAGAGTACGTGAGAGAGAATATGTTAAAGCAAGAGAGTAAGGCAAGTTAGGGAGAGATATGTTAGAGAGAGACTAAATGTTGGGAGATGACTGTCTGGAGGTGTACATAGAGGGTCAAGAAAGAAAAATGAGGATTTGAAAAAGAAACAACTTTGTCTTCTAAAAAATTAAAAATAGAAATCAAAATGGTTATCTCATGGTGTCTAAATAACTTAATTTTCAATCCCAATTTGTGATCACTTCCCATCAGTTTCCTATATGGAAATATTGTTCTTTCCTATTGTCCTTTACTAGTAGTTGTTATATGGAATTGTTACACTGTAGGACTCTACTACTTCGTTTTGTTGTAGAGACTTCAACCAGAAGTTTAGTCTTTACCTGATTGAGTAATAGGATTAAAAGGTTTGAAGTTCTCTTCCCAAGATTATATTCTACTGCAGCAACAAAAATGTTGTATTCTATTTTCTTGGTTGGTTGTCTTAAATCCTCCTTTAAAGTGTTTTAAGTCTAAACTTTTATTCACCCGAAGGAGATTTGTCTCGTCTTCAACCATCAAAATTAATGCATTTTTTTCTTAAACTAAGAAAATCTCAACTCTCCTTCATCTAGTTAATTTTTCACATTTCTTCCCATTTTAAACTCATGGTTTTTCAATTTTCTCATTCTAAGTATTTCCTTTTGTTCTTTTAGGTACTTTTTTCAAGAAAGAGACAATGAGAAATCAATCTTTACCAAATTCTTCATTCCTTCTCCGCTCCCTCTTTAAAAGCAAACCTTTTGGTTCACAATCAAAAATTCCGGGAAAGACTATCTTACCATCATCATCTTCTGAGCATATCAAGCAAAGCATTGATGCTTCCGTGGAAACCTCTTCTGAAGTGGTATGTCAGAGCAACTTGATTTTTTCAGAGTCCAGTAATGTGAAATGCGATTTGTCGCTTACAACAGCTTTAACTGAAAATCATGTGATCGACACTCTCTTGGGAAACAAAAGCGATCCAAAATCAGCATTGGAGTACTTCAAAAGGATTGACCATAAGAGAAGTTTCGTCAAGAGCACTAATTCTGTTTGTGTCTTGCTTCTCATTCTAATGAATTCGGCAGAGACCCATAGAATAGCTCAGAATTTTCTTAACCAATTTGCTACAGGAAATTCAGTTCCCTCTGGTAGTTGTCTAGTGGACCATTTAGTGGAAAGCATGCAACTATACAGATTTCCTTTAGACGTTCAGGTTTTTAATTATTTGTTGAATAGTTACGTTAGAGCTAACAAAATTGAAGAAGCTCTTCACAATTTTAATAAAATGGTAGAATTCGATATAACGCCATCAGTTCAGTATATGAATATTCTTTTGACTGCTATGGTTAGGAAAAATATGATCTATGGAGCACGGGAGTTACATAACAAAATGTTGCTTAAAGGAGTTGCATGTGATTGTTTTACATTGCATGTTATGATGCGTGCTTGTTTGAAGGAAGGGAATATTTTGGAGGCAGAGCAATATTTTGTAGAAGCGAAAGCAAGAGGAGTTAAACTTGATGCAGAAGCATATAATACTTTTATCCATGTAATTTGTATGAAACCGAATTCTGGATATGCTTCGTCTGTGGTGAGAGAGATGAGAGCAACAGGTTGGGTTCCTTCAGAGGGCACATTTACAAGTGTTATTACTGCTTGTGTGAAGGAAGGGAATATGATAGAGGCTTTACGGCTGAAAGATGAGATGGTTAATTGTGGGAAGTCTATGAATTTGGCTGTTGCAACAAGTTTAATGAAGGGTTATTGCATGCAAAGAGACCTGAGCAGTGCTTTAGATCTTGTGAATGAGATTACAAAGAATGGTCTGGTGCCCAACAAAGTTACATACGCTGTTATGATTGATGGTTGCTGTAAGAATGGGAATATGGAGAAGGCACATGAGTTTTACACTGAGATGAAAACTAAGAGTATTCGGCCCAGTGTTTATTCTTTGAATTCTATGATACAAGGGTATTTGAAATGTCAGTCTTTGCAAAATGCATTCAAGATGTTTGATGATGCAGTCGAGTGTGGTCTTGCAAATGTTTTCACGTTTAATAATTTATTGTCATGGCTTTGTAAGGAGGGTAGGGTTAATGAAGCTTGCAATTTATGGGATGAGATGATTGTTAAGGGCATTAGTCCTAATGCGGTTTCTTACAACAACATGATACTCGGTCATTGTAAAAAAGGAGATATTAATTCAGCATGTAAGATGTACAAGGAGATGCTAGATAATGGTTTTACACCGAATGTAGTTACCTTTTCTATTCTCATGGACGGCTATTTCACGAAAGGTGATATTGAGAATGCCTTTGGTATATTTCACATGATGATGGATGCTAATATTCTCCCCACAGACATCACATTAGGCATTATTATCAAAGGCTTGTGCAAAGCTGGTCGTACTTCTGAGGGAAGGGATATGTTCAATAAGTTTGTTTCTCAAGGTTTTGTTCCATCGTGTTTGGCTTACAATATTATAATTGATGGTTTCATCAAGGAAGGTGACATTAACTTGGCCTTGAATGTTTATAGGGAAATGTGTGAGATTGGCATTTCTCCTAGTATCGTTACCTACACGTCCTTGATTGATGGCCTTTGTAAAAGTAATAATATAGATCTTGCTTTAAAGTTGCGGAACATTATGATAAGGAAAGGTCTTGAAATGGACATCACTGCATACGGCATGCTCATTGACAGTTTTTGCAAAAGAAGAGACATGAGAAGTGCAAGCGAACTTTTTAATGAACTTCTTCAAGCTGGTTTATCTCCAAATGTTATCATTTACAATAGCATGATTGCTGGGTTTAAGAATCTGAATAACATGGAAGCAGCTATTAACTTGTATAAGACTATGGTAGATGAGGGGATTCCATGTGATTTGCAAACGTATACCTCATTGATTGACGGACTGCTGAAAGAAGGTAGACTTCTCCATGCATCAGATCTCTACTCTGAAATGCTTTCCAAGGGTATTTTGCCAGATGATCACACACATACGGTTCTAATCAACKGTCTCTGTAACAAAGGACAATTAGAGAATGCACGCAAGATTTTGGAAGAGATGAATGGAAGAAACATGATTCCTAGTGTTCTTATTTACAACACATTAATAGCTGGACACTTTAAGGAAGGGAATTTGCAAGAGGCTTTTAGGTTGCATGATGAGATGCTTGCTAGAGGTCTTGTTCCTGATAACACTACCTATGATATTCTTGTCAATGGGAAGTTCAAAGGAGAATGTACTTTTAGTAGAGATTTGAGTTTCTAAGTAGGCAGACTCACACTCCTGTATTGCCCCCAAAAGAAAGCATTTATTATGAGGTATTTTGTCTCACTTCTATTTTTCCTGCATGATAAATTCCTTAAGAAATAATATTGAGTGTGAACTGTGAAGATAATTAGTTAATGACTGACCATAATTTTGTAGGTGTGTTTTCTCTTTCATTTTGGAAGTGGTTAAAGGTTTCATGTCCCCCGCTCATCGTCAGTTTCAAAGGTACATCTCAAAAGTAAAGATATTTTAGTTGTTGCCTTATTTTTATTGGCTTTGAAATTTTAATAGACATTGTCTTTTATGAAAAGATCCCTATATCAGTTAATATGTTTCTAGTATACCTACTAATTGTTGAAATGGTTCAAACATAATGAGCAGCTGATGGAATTTTTCATGCCCACCTAGTAAATTTGCATTATTTATCATAAATTTGTGTATTTTGTGTTGTCTCGTTCTCACATTATTCTCCGAGCCTTATCAATGCTAATTGGGGAGTGTTGGCTTAATTCCCAGTAGTTATGTTTTCAGTCTTATGTTTTACGTTTTTCTGTTTATTGTAGTTTTTCACCCTCTTAGGAGTTTGTTTCATTGAACAATTGTATTATCTTTTCATTAATTCAATGAGAAGTTGTTTCTTGTTAAAAAAAAATTCATGATTGTATCGTTTTACTTTTGAATAGACGTATTCATCACAATATGCTCATTCAGTTTTCTTTTTCATCCAACATGATTGTGGTGACTGATTTATAGTTAATCAATCTCTAATTGATTGTGGTCACAATATGATTGATAGTTTAGATTGGTTACATTCATCACTAAGCCAAAGATTTTTATTATTTTTCAACTAGAATAAAACCACAACTTCTTATTTCTATGCTTGCTTCCAGGAAATCCAACATACTGATGGAATCCTCCACAATTATCTCCCATTGCTTCAAAAATTCCCTCTACAATGTCTCTGAGTTTGATCCATCCCTTTTTCTTGCATAGAAGAAGATTGCTTTTCTTCTTATTACTTATTAGAATCTCGACGAAGCTTTACGTAGAAAGGATTCAGCATACCATCTTTCATCCCACCTTTAATGGGGGCCTTGGGGTGGCATCTCTGAAGCAAAGAAACAACAGCTCTTCTCCTCGAATGGCAGTGGAGGTTTGCACGAAAAGAAAACGCCCTCCAGAGGAAAGTTCGGGGATGGAAGGCAACGAATGGGCTACCTCCCCTCCGAGGAAGAAGTTAGGAAACATAATTTGGCCACAAATTATGAGGGACATGGAGTTATTTTAGAGATCTGTGAACTTTACAGCAGGGAATGGCAAGAAAATTCGCTTCTGGGAAGATCCTTGGCTCAAGTCCGAACATTCGACACAGGTTTTTCCTGATATCTTCAAGCATAACACTATGCTCATGGGTGGTAGAATTATAAGACTTCACCTCTAATGATCTTTGAATTCATTGATAAAAATTTGGAGTTCATTTGCAACATGTTGATCATGAACATGAAGGTTCCAAAAGATCAAGGAATCAACATCAACACTTCACCGATGAGATCAATTTCATGCGCTTTATTAATACCTTCTACCAAAATTATCATTTTCGTGAGCTCCGACGAGCATGTGACACTATATATGTGTGTGTGGTTTCTAGAAAAAGTAAAAATATCTTCTAATCCTTTAGGTGGATGCGTCCCTTCTTCTCACCAGGCACCATAAAGGAGAATGGGGATAAAGGAAATTGGGGGATGTAACGTTAAACCCAATGAGATTGGCACTAACATTCATATTCAGAAAATTGCGAAAGCAACTTCAATTTTTGGAGTATAAATGAGATATGACCGTCTTTTAAAAAACTTGTTATTTTAACCTTTACTGAGACATCAAAATTAAGTTTTTGTCCCTCATTTATTTCTCGTACACCTTTCTTCTTTTGGTTACTTTTCTTCTTCATCTTTATTCTGCATTGACTAATGGTGGCATGGAAGCTTGCAATAAAGGCTTGATTGTAGAGTTGTGCCAGATTATAATTTGGGAAATTTGAATTTGTGACCCCTCCAATAACTGAAACTGGATAAATGACCCCATTTTAAAAAAACCTAATTTATGACCCCTCCTTCTATTAATTATAACCCCTTTCAAAATATGACATAATGAAATTACCATTGTACCCCTGTTTTAAAAAAATTCATCCCCCCTCCCCATCCTTCGTCTCGGACGTTTCGTGGCACTCCCATCCCATCCCAAGTAAAACCCTAAACCCCCATCTCGGAGAATCCTCGTCTCGGAGAATCCATTTCGCACTCATCCATTTTTTCTGAAGATCATTCTTTYGCACTCATTTGTAAGCGTCGGATTCATCTCGGAGGCTGCAAGGTTAGTTTATATCTTTTA